TGTTGGAGTTCCTTGCGTCTCTCTTCAACACGTTATCTTGAGATGATTTCGGGGCTTTAGTGTCCCCGCGGCCCGGTCCTCGACCAGGCCTCCACCCCCAGGAAGCAGCCCGTTGCAGCTGTCTTACTCCCAGGTACCTATTTACTGCTAGGTAACAGGGGCATCAGGGTGAAAGAAACATTTTGCCCATTTGTCTCCGCCGGGGATCGAACCCGGAACCTCAGGACTACGAATCCGAAGCACTGTCCACCCAGCTGTCAGGCGCCTTGGGAGGAAAACAAAAAAGTATGTTGCTATTTTACACCAAAATGTTGCCGTTGTAGCAGTTACCTGAAGGAAACTAAAGGAAACTGAGTTTACCTGATGTAACTCGCTCTAGGGACCTCGACTATCCCTGAGGATTTTGTCCGGTTGAATTGTGAACTAGAGAACTGTTGACCAGACCACACACTAGAAGGTGAAGGGACGACGACGTTTCGGTCCGTCCTGGACCATTCTCAAGTCGATTGTGTCGACTTGAGAATGGTCCAGGACCATTCCAAGTGGTCCAGGACCACCGTCCAAGTGGTTGCATGGGAACCATTCCTTTCCCTCCGTCCCATCCCAAATTCTTATCCTGACGGTTGTTGTTTTAGATTTAGCTACTAAGAACGAAATGTCCATGTAGCACGGGCTATGGTGAGCCCGTAATTATCCTGACCCCTTCCCAGTGTTATATAGTCGTAATGGCTTGGCGCTTTCTCCCGATAGTTCCCTGCAAACCCAAAACGTAACTGTCCTTATTTTCCGCTTGTTACAACTTGTAATAAAGTTATTACAGCTTGTTATGACGCTTTTATGACGTATTAGAATGTTGTACAACTTGTTATATTGGTTGTTAGGTAGTAAAACTCTCTCAAACGTCTTAGTAACGTCGCATAAACGTCTTAGTAGCATCGTAGCAACGTCGCATTAATGTTGTAGTAACATCGTAGTAATGTCTTAGTAACGTTGCGGCAACGTCGCAGTAACGTAGAAACGTCGTAGTAACATCTTAGTAACGTCGTAGGAACGTTGTAGTAACGTCATGTGTTTGGCAGGAGCTGTTGTACCTTGTGGCTTGTTGAGCTTGAAGCTGTTCCAGCCACGTGGACTGTGGTATTATGGACCCGGTGGGTGAACCAGCGCGGCGGCGGGCAGGAAAAGAACAGGAAAATAGGTAGCAGGATCTGGACGACTAACTTGTCGTCCTCAGTGTCGGGTATTGGTTAGTTGATGATTCTCGAGTTATTACGGCTTGTACCATATGACTAACTTGGTTGCCAGACACCGTGATGGTTTACAGTCGTGGATATTGTAGTTTGTTGTGTTGCTGCCAGACGTTGTTATGTTGCTGCCAGACGTTGTTATGTTGCTGCCAGACGTTGTTATGTTGCTGCCAGACGTTGTTGTGTTGCTGCCAGACGTTGTTATGTTGCTGCCAGACGTTGTTGTGTTGCTGCCAGACGTTGTTATGTTGCTGCCAGACGTTGTTATGTTGCTGCCAGACGTTGTTATGTTGCTGCCAGACGTTGTTATGTTGCTGCCAGACGTTGTTATGTTGCTGCCAAACGTTGTTATGTTGCTGCCAGACGTTGTTGTGTTGCTGCCAGACGTTGTTGTGTTGCTGCCAGACGTTGTTGTGTTGCTGCCAGACGTTGTTGTGTTGCTGCCAGACGTTGTTATGTTGCTGCCAGACGTTGTTATGTTGCTGCCAGACGTTGTTATGTTGCTGCCAGACGTTGTTGTGTTGCTGCCAGACGTTGTTATGTTGCTGCCAGACGTTGTTGTGTTGCTGCCAGACGTTGTTATGTTGCTGCCAGACGTTGTTATGTTGCTGCCAGACGTTGTTATGTTGCTGCCAGACGTTGTTATGTTGCTGCCAGACGTTGTTATGTTGCTGCCAGACGTTGTTATGTTGCTGCCAGACGTTGTTGTGTTGCTGCCAGACGTTGTTGTGTTGCTGCCAGACGTTGTTGTGTTGCTGCCAGACGTTGTTATGTTGCTGCCAGACGTTGTTATGTTGCTGCCAGACGTTGTTATGTTGCTGCCAGACGTTGTTATGTTGCTGCCAGACGTTGTTGTGTTGCTGCCAGACGTTGTTGTGTTGCTGCCAGACGTTGTTATGTTGCTGCCAGACGTTGTTATGTTGCTGCCAGACGTTGTTATGTTGCTGCCAAACGTTGTTATGTTGCTGCCAGACGTTGTTGTGTTGCTGCCAGACGTTGTTGTGTTGCTGCCAGACGTTGTTGTGTTGCTGCCAGACGTTGTTGTGTTGCTGCCAGACGTTGTTGTGTTGCTGCCAGACGTTGTTGTGTTGCTGCCAGACGTTGTTGTGTTGCTGCCAGACGTTGTTGTGTTGCTGCCAGACGTTGTTGTGTTGCTGCCAGACGTTGTTGCGTTTCTGCCAGACGTTGTTGTGTTGCTGCCAGACGTTGTTATGTTGCTGCCAGACGTTGTTATGTTGCTGCCAGACGTTGTTGTGTTGCTGCCAGACGTTGTTGTGTTGCTGCCAGACGTTGTTGTGTTGCTGCCAGACGTTGTTATGTTGCTGCCAAACGTTGTTATGTTGCTGCCAGACGTTGTTGTGTTGCTGCCAGACGTTGTTGTGTTGCTGCCAGACGTTGTTGCGTTTCTGCCAGACGTTGTTGTGTTGCTGCCAGACGTTGTTATGTTGCTGCCAGACGTTGTTATGTTGCTGCCAGACGTTGTTATGTTGCTGCCAGACGTTGTTGTGTTGCTGCCAGACGTTGTTGTGTTGCTGCCAGACGTTGTTATGTTGCTGCCAGACGTTGTTGTGTTGCTGCCAGACGTTGTTATGTTGCTGCCAGACGTTGTTATGTTGCTGCCAGACGTTGTTATGTTGCTGCCAGACGTTGTTGTGTTGCTGCCAGACGTTGTTATGTTGCTGCCAGACGTTGTTGTGTTGCTGCCAGACGTTGTTATGTTGCTGCCAGACGTTGTTATGTTGCTGCCAGACGTTGTTATGTTGCTGCCAGACGTTGTTGTGTTCCTGCCAGACGTTGTTATGTTGCTGCCAGACGTTGTTGTGTTGCTGCCAGACGTTGTTATGTTGCTGCCAGACGTTGTTGTGTTGCTGCCAGACGTTGTTATGTTGCTGTCAGACGTTGTTGTGTTGCTGCCAGACGTTGTTATGTTGCTGCCAGACGTTGCTATGTTGCTGCCAGACGTTGTTGCGTTTCTGCCAGACGTTGTTGTGTTGCTGCCAGACGTTGTTGCGTTTCTGCCAGACGTTGTTGCGTTTCTGCCAGACGTAGTTCCATTGTTACTGCCTAGCTGCCCTCGGAGCCTGGCTGTGACAACTCGTCCTCTCACATAACACATCGTATTTTGACGTAACACTCCCCATCATCAAAGAAAGATGCATGAAAAGCATAGCGCCTCGCAAAATTGCGGTGATGTCCCGTTTTCTATTCGTGGGCCCTCGGGGAAGTTAGGTTCGGGCAGTTTAGTACAACCATTTAGCGACGTTGGGAATGATCGGGAGGAATGATATCCCCCTTATAACTGCACCAATTCAACTGAGCATTGTTACCACTTCCTCTTAATGACTACTGATTATATCATTATATGAACAGTATTTCATTATCAATTATATCATTATATAATAATGATATAATAACTAATTATATTATATAATCAGTAGTCATTGCTGATAATTTGTCTGGGTTGCTCCCGGACACAGGTTCGAATCCTCGTCACGGCCCTTGTGGATTTGTTCATCTGGTGAAGCTAGACATGCCAAAACTCTGCTGAATTTTAAAGTCCAGCTCGATTAGATAGTCAGGATAAATGGGGGGAACCTTTGACAAGCCGCCAGCATCCTGTCTTCGTCGAGGCTACTAAAGGCATAGTCGCCCTCAGGTAAAATCAGGTAAATAAATTCCCCAATGTCAACTTCTCCTAATTAATGGCAAGTTTTAAATGTTATTTATGTTAGCGGGGTTGTGACTGTTCTGTTTACACACTATTATTTGTAAACAAAAAATAACTCGGTTTTTTTCTTTTACGTAAATGAACAATAAAACAATAATTAACAACAATAATGAACAATAATTAGCAAAAACAATGAACAATAATTAACAATAATGAACAATAAAACAATAATTTTGCCCGAAACGCTATGCGTGTCAGCGGCTTTACAAGAATGTAAAATCAACTCAACAAACAATAAATCAACAATTATTATTATATATATAATAATTGAGCAAATTTCTCTTGTGGGAGGAATTAACACGGAACCCTTTATGTTGCCCTTGTGGTGGTCTTTGTAAAATAATTAATTGTAAATACTGAAAAAAATACACCCATATGGAGGATAGCGAGATTATCCTCGTTATAATACCAACATCTTCTTAAGAGCTTGTTAGTAGTCAACATTTTAATATGATCGTCTTTCCTGTAGTGTTCAGCGCCTACAATAAGGAATACATAAAATGATTTTAATTTAAATATACCTGAAATAACATTCACATTTATTTCAAATCAATTGGGACAATGATAACCATGATTACTTTAGCAGATAAATAACATGATGACCAAACCAACAGATGAAGAGACGACGACGTTAACAATCAACAGATAATGGTCCAAAACGGACCGAAACAGGTCGTTATCTTCTGGTGTGAGGGTTGGTCATATCATATCTTCAGCCCCGTTATTGTGACTCGTCTCCTGCATGGGTAAATAAAATGTTTAAAAATGACACAAAACGCGCTTTATTGCAGTGTAATTTTCACCGAACTTGACTCTGCTCAAGTAAACTGTTTGTTGTTATTGTTTAAGATTCAGCTACTGGGAACAAAACGTTCCAAGTAGCACTGGCTATGGTGAGCCCGTAGAGGACTTACCAGGCACAGAAGCGGGGCTGTAACTGCTAAAGTAAGCGTTGTTATAGATTCAAATACTGGAAACAAAAGTTCCAAATAGCACTGGCTATGGTGAGCCCGTAGAGGACTTACCAGGCACAGGAGCGGGGCTGTAACTGCTCAAGAAAGCAAAAGTGTGTCCTTAAGCAGACAAAGTTTTCTATGAATAAGTGGGTGGTGCCGTGAGGCGGGGCGGGGCGGCCACGCGTCGTAGTGGAGGGCAGGTTTCTGGTCTCTCCACCACACAACAGCACCTCATAAACCACAACGTTACCCACACTCTCTCGTTGTTGGTGCAGATTTAGCTACTCGGAACGAAATGTCCATGTAGGGCTATGGTGAGCCCGTAACCGGCCACTCTCTCACTGTCCTCATTCTTTATGCAGACGACGAGTCACAATAACGTGGCTGTAAGGGGGGGGGGGGGTAGAAATAGCCTAAGCTACTTTAAACGTACTTGAACGTGGCAAGCGACATCAGAAAGTGATGTAACGACGACGTTTCAGTCCATCCTGGACCATTATCAAGACACGTTAGTCTGAAACGTCGTCGTTTCTATAATTTCTGATGTGTGGTTTGGTCATTATAACTTGTCGTTCTGTAATTTCAAGGCTGTTCTTCACACAACTAAGTTATGCTTTGTTAAACTTGAGGGTATGTAAAACTAAGTTAAAACATCATCGAGTACTATATAATAATAGTAATAATAATAATTATAATATAATATTTATTTAGCATTTATAATAAGGCAAAAATATATAGCTGCAGTCACACATAACTGCCATTGGATGCCGTTTAATAACATTATATCAGTAACCATTTATTACTAAACGCAGGAGCACAGAATGTATATATTACCTTGGAAATATATATTAATACGGGCTCCCCATAGCCCGTGCTATTTGGAACTTTTTGTTTCAAGTAGCAAATCATAAATAACAATATATATTATGTTAGTCCAAGCCTATGTCTAAGACTAATATATATACATACTGGCTGGTTAGTAAACTGATGTTCGCTCTAACAACCCTCTATAGGTTAGTACCTTACAATGATTTCGGGGCTTAGCGTCCCCGCGGCCCGGTCCTCGACCAGGCTTCTTCGTTGCTGGACTGGTCAACCAGGCTGTTGGATGCGGCTGCTAGCACCCTAACGTCTGAATCACAGGCTTGGTTGATAAGGTATTACGGTAGGCGCTAAGCACACCCTACCATTAAAATAGGACCTCGGGAGTTAGACGCCTATTGTGGGTTGCATCCATGTGTATGCACAAACAAATTATATTAACGTGATGTATCAAGGAGAACATCAGTAGAGTCCTTACCATGGCGTCTACTGATTATACAATGTATAATTCTCGCCACGACAATCCCCGTGGCGAAGTGGTAACACACTCGCCTCGCATTTCGTAAGCGCTTTGACGTAGGTTCGTATCCTGGCCAGGGAGGATTGACTAGGCGCCAATCCTTAGCTGTAGCCTCTTGTTTACCCAACGATAAAATGGGTACCTGGACCTAGATTCAGGAAGCTCTGTGTATTTCTTCGTAAGTGGGTTTGCTACGAAGGTTCCTAAGTGCGCCCTAAGAAGATGCTTAGGTGCGATTCAATAAGGTATACTTAGGAAGAAAATTGTTGGTTCACCTGCGTGCCGATAGAGGTCACTACTGTGTTTCGTTTGGCCAATCAGAGAGCAGCAACATTCTTCATATTGAAGATTTAGCGCTGGCTTATAGGAGCTCTACTGCCTCCTATTTACGTCGAATTTTCTTATAAAATTAGTATATTTCGCAGTAAAACAATGTTTTTTCAACTTCTACAGCCAGCACCGACATTGTAGTAAACAAATATGTTACATTTGTTGTTTACCTACGTAATTCTAAGAGATACTGTGTAGCTGTCCTTGTTGCTCGGAAGATGCGCTGACAATTATTGTATATATTTACTGAATTTACCCAATGGCCACTAACTATCTAGTGACCTCGAAGAGGACAGAAAGCCGGCGGCTTGTTAAAGGGCCCGCCAATTGAATTAATGTTATTTTTTAGCTGGAATTTGGCATTTACGGCTTCAGCGGGTAGGCGGTTCCATGGGTTTATAGCCCCCTTGGTGGAAAACAAAAACATCTGTTTTCAGTCCTACTTGAGAGAACATACTCTCCAACACTATATCTGTGATTGTCCTGTTATCAGTGACTTCATACCAAATGGTATGAGGTACTTTGAGCTCTGTAATTACTTCATACACTCAGGAATATTGGAAGATATTCTTGTGCTGCACCCAGATTTTGCCAGTGGAGGCATTAAGTATTTTGTTCTCTCCTAATTCCATGTATGACTGGCCATCCTGTGAGGTGAGGATGTTGGGTGAGCTTGTAGCTGGTTTTTGATCTACACTGTGTGGTCCTTTATACAGAATAGGGAAGCAGCACATTGCTGTGTATACCTAAACATGTTTAAAAATACATAGTTTGAGAGGAGTTTTGTAGAAACTGGTAAGAGTAATTATAATATAATGTTTCCATGATTCAGTGCTTACCTCTTGTGAAAATTGCTTAGAGTTGTTTAGTCAGAGTTGATTTGTTTTTTGTATTGAGGCTGGTATTTTCTAAATTGATTCCATGTACAGTATGTCTAACCATCCTGTGAGATGGGAGTATTAGATAAACTTATAGCTAGTTTTTTATCTACACTGTGTAATATTCCATATAGAATAGGGTAGCAGCACATTGCTGTGTATACCTAATCTTCTTAATAAAAAAAATCAGTAATAAAGATTTTAAATTATAGTTTGTATTATTACAAATACAGTACTGTATTATCCTTATTAAATCATGTTGACCATGGATCATTAAGATCTCATGTTGATATGTAATACAAGTCATATTTCTTTTGAACTGCTAATCCATGCTAATCATTCATTAAATTGTGCATTATGTCTTAATTTTTCACTTCCTTGGATATACTGTACAGTACAAAAAGATAGGATAAAAATAAACCAGTAATATTTCTTTCATTATATTTTTCATTTAAATAACTGCATCAATATTTTCACAGCTGACAGGATTTGTTTTCCCATACAGGTGCATTATTTGTTAAAAAAAATTTGGTTTATTGTTACACACAATGGTGCTACATAGCCTTCCCAGCTTGGTGCCTTCTTTTAATACTTACTGATTAAAAAATAAATAATAAATACATTTTATTCAGGAAAAGTACATACAGTTGATTTACAAACATAATGTTGGATTTATAGGCAGAGCTAGTACATACAATACCTAAAGCCACTAATACTCATAGCATTTCGGGCAAGGTGTGGGGGGAAAAAAACACAGACTAAAACTTAATAGCAATCGAGATTAGGTATAAATTGTGTTGAAAGAAGGAATAAAAAATACAAAAACGGGGTTAACATAGCATAAATCAGCAATTGCACATGTTGGTGAACAGCGTTGTTTAAAAAATAGCAAGACATGGGTTGACATTTAGGAAGTAAGTTAGGTTACATGGAGTTAATTAGGCAGTACTTGGTTTAACTCTTAAACTGGTTGAGAGAGGTACAGGCTTTGACATGATTCGGGAGGTCATTCCACATTCTGGGTCCCTTGATTTGTAGAGCACTTCTAGTTTGGTTACACACAGCCAAATTGAGTAACAGGAAGAGGTCTTGGACACAAATTTGTTCCATGCTAAATGTAGAGGAATCAGCTGAGTATTCCTCAAATAAAATAAGTTGCCTCAGCTTATAAGGTAAATAAAATAAGCATTTCTCAAATAAGTAGCTGCCTCACCTCACTGCCTTACTGCTACATAGCCTTCCCGGCATGGTGCCTTCTTTTGATAATTACTTGTTCCACACCCAAATTGTATAACAGGAAGAGGTCTTGGACCCCTACTTCCCTCTCTCTTTTTTAGTAGTCTATATAGTCATAATTATAGCTTTAAGTATTCAATGAATAAAGTTTTTGACATTTTTACCCTTTTCCTTACCTAACATCATTTGTGCAGCATATTTTTATTTTATGTCTCACCCAGATTTAATTTCAAAATAAAACCAAACTAAATAAATTAGAAATGGGTATGTATAGCTAAGGTACACCCTTACTACTAGGTGAACAGGGACATTTGGTGATAGTAAATGATCCCATCAGGCAGGGCTCATCACCTTCTCTCATATTTCATGTTCACCAGTGTTTATTTACTTAATAACTACTGGTATAATATCTTGCTATTATAAAACTAATTCTACTATCATCAAACACATATTTATTTCAAGTTTCAAGCAGAGAATGCATATATAACTAACACGAAGGACTCCTCTCCACTAGATTCACCAGCTATAATATTTTGGTCATGTTCCAATATCATAAATCGATCCCAGTGTTATGTAGTAGAGAAAAAATGACTTATATCCAGTTTACGTAAAGCTACGAGTGGTCGAAACCACACTTAAATCCCGGAATGAACTTACGAAGATTTTTCCACTTAGGGTAGTTAATTATCTTACTGAAGCGACCATACTAGTCATACATACTCATCCTCCGCCCAGGTAAAACAGAAACAAGCATCACTTAGTGGGCCAGCCAGAGGCTTAGGGCCCGCGCAGGATTATCCCTGCTAAAAAGAAAAAAAAAAAAAAAAAAAAGGTAGTTAATTGAATACGGACGTAGCCGCCACGAAGGCGCTAAGACGGAAAACGCTCTTAGCTAAGAGGAAAAACCTTCGTAAGTACCTTCTTGAATCCGGCCCCTGGTTGTTAAACTATTTAGCGGGGTCGTATTCCGGGGAAAATTAGTATTAAGGACCTGCCTGAAACGCTATACGGCTGTTCAAGAATGTAAGAACTCTTTCTTGTATATATATAAAATGTATAAAGCTACTAATACGCAAAGCCCATTTGGAAATTACTAGTTGAATGGCGTTCCTTGACTTCCAACTATGGCTAACACAATTCGCATTGGTTTGGCTTAAAAATTTACTTGCGTTCAATTCTACATTCCTTCCCGTTTTTCAAGCATTAATCTTATGGTTGTTTTGTGGAGGGACGCAGCCTCGCGTCACCACACACCCGGCCTCCTGTGCCCATGGGCCGCCAACATGACCTCCAAGTGTGGAGATCAGAATCCCTTAAATTCCTGATATGAGGTAAAATGATCTATCAACGATAAGCTGGAATTTACGGTTTATCAATTGTGTTTTTGCGGGTTTTCAGCGTTCGTCTGTACCAAAGGATTTTGAAATATCAGGAAACATATGTTATCTAACGCTGAACGATGATGGTAAATAAATACTAGTATGCAGAAACCATATTCGCCCATGCAAAGCGGCTGTTATTTGGATTCTACCACTCGTACTTAT